TACTGAACCTGCCCCCCACCCCCTGCAGGTGATCAACGCCATCGAGCAGGACTACCGGCTGCCTCCCCCCACCGACTGCCCCACCTCCCTGCACCAGCTGATGCTGGACTGCTGGCAGAAGGACCGGAATTCCCGGCCCCGCTTCGCCCAGATCGTCAGCTCCTTGGACAAGTTGATCCGGAACCCGGCCAGCCTCAAGATCGTCTCACGGGGCAACGGAGGGTGAGTCGGGGGGGGGGGGCACGGCACGCGCACACACACCCCCCAGTCAGACCCAGCCTCCCAAAGCTGCCCGTTGAACTGGCCAAGCGTCGGTGGTCGGACCACCACGACTGCACTGTTCTGGGGTTTCCTGAGCCTCCAATAGTTGAGCCACATTGCACTTTTGGCGGTAAAACGGGAGTTGCGCCACAGGGATCTTATCGCCGAAGAATGTTTCTCTTTGGCCCATACAAGGTGTTGCGCGTAACACGTGATCACCCTGGTTTGGGACCATGGCACCAGTGGGGAAATGGCCTCAGCTCCCCTGCCACATTGTTTTTCTGGCCAAAAACAGCCGGGGGGGGGGGGCACATCCAATGTTCCCCCTAAGATGGGTTAGTGTGAGCTGGCTCACAGTTTTTTATCAGTTTTTTAGCCTCCAGTTCACACATTTTTGCCTTCGCTCAGGAAGGATGGGGCTCCACAGCAGACTCATTTATGCAGTAGCCAAACGGCTTGCTCACAGCTCTATTGCCAGTAGCTCACAGAGTAGAATTTTTGCTCACAAGCAGTGTTCCCTCTAAGCTGAGTGAGTGTGAGCTAGCTCACAGTTTTTTAGCCTCCAGTTCACACATTTTTGCCTTCGCTCAGGAAGGATGGGGCTCCAGAGCAGACTAATTCATGCAGTAGCCAAACTTTTTGCTCACAACTTTAATGCCAGTAGCTCACAACGTAGAATTTTTGCTCACAAGGCTCCACAGCTTAGAAGGAGCATTTGTCATGTTTAGCGCATGTGCAGCCCCCTCATGGGGCAGATATGGCCCTCTCCAGAACATTTTGGGATGCAAAAACAGCACGGAGGAGAAGGCTGAAGCTCCGAATCCAGTGGCGGCTTCTTGTGTCCAGAGCCCCTCGGTTGGGCCTTTCCCTTCTTTTCTGTGCCCCCCCCCCCCGGCACATGTTAATCTCGGAGCATTTCTGGCTCTCAGACTGAAGCGTCCTTATGGAGAACCCAGGAGTCGCGGTGCCTGCTTCTCCGCTTGGACTCCCAGACTGCCTTGAAGACCCTTCCTGGCACTCGCCCCTGCTGGATCCGGGGTCTCTCTTGTCTTGGGCGGTGGCGAAGCCTCCTTGCTCCCTCACGAGCCGATCGTATCCCCCCCCCGGGTATCCTAGATCCCACCTTTGACTCCTCTGCGTCCTCTCTCTCTCTCGGCCGCAGGCCATCTCACCCGCTGCTGGACCAGCGCCTGCCGCACTACTCCTCCTTCGGCTCGGTGGGCGAATGGCTCCGGGCGATCAAAATGGGCCGCTACGAAGAGAACTTTGCGACGGCCGGCTTCTCCTCCTTTGAACTGGTCAGCCAGCTCTCGACTGAGTGAGTGGGCCTGCACGGATGCGCCGGGGAGGGGGGGCTGAGCGGGGAGGGGGGCCGCCGCCGCTACTGACTTCCACTCTGTCCTGGCCAGTTTGGTGTAGTGGTTCAGTGCACAGACTCTAATCTTGGAGAACCAGGTTTGATTCCCCACTTGTCCACTTGCGCCTGCTGGACGACCTTGGGCAAGCCATAGTTCTGGGAGAGCTGTTCTTGAAAAAGAGCAGTTTCTGTCAGAGTTCTCTCAGCCCCACCTGCCTCCCAGGGTGTCTGTTGTGGAGAGGGGAAGGGAAAGGAGTTTGTTAGCCGCTCTGAGACACCTTTGGGTAGTGAAGGGCGGGGTACAAATCCAATCTCTTCTCTTCTCCTCCTCCTCCTCCCCAGAGATCTGCTCCGAGTCGGGGTGACGCTGGCCGGCCACCAGAAGAAGATTTTGTCCAGCATCCAGAACATGCGTGTCCAGAGCAAGCCCGGCCCGTCCGTCGGGACCAAAGCGGGACTTTACTGACCCGGGTGGTGCCTTGAGTCTGGTCAGCCTCTCTGGGCCCCTCCGACAAATAGGATTCCGGTGGTGAAGCGGGGGGGGGGGTGTCTGTGATTTGGGGAGCCGGTTGCCTCAGGCCCCACTCCCGTTTCTGGTTTCCTTTTCTCCTTTGGAAGAGGATCGTCACTGGGGCATCAGCCCCTGCCTCCTCAACAGATTCTCCTTTCCCCCTTTTTAAAAAGACTTGCGCTCTGGGGCAGGGAAGATGGAAGACTCCTTTTTCCCACCGCAGTCATTTTATGAAATGGCTGCTTGGGATCTGCAGATACTGCTGGCTGCTTGCTCAGTTCAGCCGTGTTGGCAGAGGTGGCGGCCATCTCTCCGTCTCTCCCACCTCTGGCCCTTCGACTGGGTCTCCCTGGCGGCTCGTGCAACCGCCCAGCCCTCAGTGCCTTGGCCTGACTCTTCAAAGAACAGTTAGGTAGGAATTCCAAAGGTGACCTCATGTTTACCCCGTTTCCCAGAATGCACTTGTGTGGAAAATGGGTGCACTTCTCTCATCTTCAGGGGCAGCAGCCCCACCTGTGGACTTGCCAAGATGGCTGCCTGGAGGATTGCCTCCGGAAATGGCACCTGCACGGAAATGCGCATGAGGAGTGAAATTTTTATGCTGTTTTTCAGGGTAAACAGTTTTTTTCAGGGTGGCTGCTCTGTCTAGCGGTGAGATCTCAAAAAATGGAGATTCTTGACTTGCGGCTCCGTTTTTAAATGACTTTTAACTCTTTCTTGCCTTGCCCTCCTGGTGCCCTGCCTGGAGGATTTGTTTGGGGTAAATCACCAGAGGCCTTCAGGACCAGCCGTCTTCCCTCCTTTGTGGGTCATGGGAGCACCGTGGCTCATGATCTGCAGACTTCCCCAGATGGGGAGTCTCTTACTTGAAACCAAATCGGCTCCTGGGTCAGCCTGAGAAAGGAGTGGGGGGTGGGGAGTCTGGAATGCAGCAAACCCACCCACCCACCCCCGGTCTGAATGCCAAAGAATGGTTCGTATTGGCGGGATGTGGCCTGTATAGAAGTGGGACTTTCTGGCGATGTGGTATCTATGCTGAACTGTGGGATGACATCCTCAAGGGCAGGAGTGACGCGGTCACCCTCCGCACCATGATGTGGGAACGAGAGACTGGCCTGGGGAAACTCATCCCTGAGATGGCATGAACCCTTATAGTGATGTAACCATTTGACAATCAGAAAACTCTGCACTGTCCAACGATGTCAGTGTGATGACGTCACAGGAGAACAAAAGCAACGCTTTGAATTCTGGGGGATCCAGCGTTGGTCGTATGAGACCGAGAGGCGCTCGAAGAATGCCAAGAACATGGCCGCTAGACTGTGATATCCGCGTGGTGGAGATGCAGGCCTCTGCAGTGTCAGTGGCGTACGGGGAGGCTACCATGGAGAAGCTGAAGCTGGAGAAGGGCTTGCCGGTGGCTCTCTTGGATGAGGATGACATCAACGTCATGTGCCTCTGGACCAAGCGAGGGCGCTGGTGGATGATGTCACAAGAGCCAGCCTGTGAGGTCATTAATAAGCACTGCTTCTTTTGTATCCGTTTTTTAAACCTTCATATTGAAGGTGGTGATGTTGATTTTTATTAAAAAATTGTATCTTGTAAACCAAAATCACGGGAAAGGCTTGGGATGGGGGGAGCAGGAGGAAGGGGGGGGAAGAGTTGCTGGGGTGGGGGAGAGAGATTTTGATGCTGAAATTGTCACAGCCTTCCTTGTCTGAGCAGGTCCAGAAGTGTCAGGGTTCCTTCACCAGGTCCCAGAGGGGATCTACTGTCTTCCTGGGACTGTGAATTTCTTTTTGCTTCTTAGAAGGAATGCTGGTTGTCTGATCCAGCCGGGATCGATTTGGGACTGAAGAGAGTCTCCTCCCGTGGGTGCCTTTGGGATCCAGCGCCTGAGACTTCACCGGGGGATCTTCCCTCCGTATCCAAAACAGAATGGGGGAGGGGGGGGTTATTGAGACTTCTGCATGCCCCCCCTGCCCTAATCGTTGACCTGCCACTCCCCTTTTCGCCTCCTGTCTGTCAAGGGGGTGGGACGGTCATGGGTGAACTTGCTGCAGATTGGGGGGCGGGGGCGGGAGTCTCAGAAGGGAGAAACATCTGAAAGGCCTGCTCTCCCCCCCCCCCCCCTACAAAATGCTAATTTAAAAATGTAATGATCCTTTTTGTTTGTTTAATAAAAGGTGCTCTTTTTTAAAAAATGGGACACGAGAGATTTGCAGTGGACACAAAGAGGCTGGCGATGGGCGTGGGGGCTGAAAGAGACAGGGTGGCAGGAAGGGGCCCCCCCCCCAGTCGTTCTTGGTGCTCTCCCAGGGAGAAGGAAAGTGGACTGGTCAACAGCCCTGGGGTGGGCAGAGCCACTGTGTGTGTGGGGGGGGGAGACTTGTGGGCCCTCTTGGCCAGCTAAAAGCAGAAGGGTCCACCCCTCCAGGCATTCTCCCCCCAGTTGCTCTATGGCTGGAGCAAAAAACCGGGACACCCCCCCCCCAGTGTTCCCTCTAAGCTGAGTTAGTGTGAACTTCCCAAGGGCAGTCCCTGGATGGCAACAAAATCCCAGGAGGAGGTAGTGGGATCCAACAGATCTCCTCCTCCTGGTCTTACCTCTGCCTTTGTGGGAAGCCAGTGATGAAGCCGCTCTGGAGTCGGAATTCCTGGGTTAACTGCTCAGCTGTGGGGTAGAGAAGGAAGGGAGGGGAGTGTCCGTCCGTCCCCACCCCAGGCAGGAAGTTGGAAGGGAAACCGGCTGAGCTCAAACTCATTAGGGAGAAGAATCCTTTGCAGGGAGGGGAAGCTGGAGGTCAGATTCCTTGTCCAGACACAATGGGGGGGGGAGGATGGGGTTAATGGGCCCCCCTCCTCTGATTTATGGGCCCACCCGCTTGGCTCCTCTCCCTCCGCAATCTGTGGCTGGTGTGTTCCTACTTTCCAGCCAGCCTGTAGTAAACAGCTCCTTCCTGCATGGAAAAGCTGCCCGGCCTCTCAGCTTCCAGCACGTCCAGTTCTGCAGACCCGGGCACGGATTCGAGTCCCAGTCCCTTTGTTTTTTAAAAGAAAAATGTGAATCCCGTGCTTTTAATTTGATTTTGTTTTTATTTTTGACGTTTGCTTTGGTGGGGGGGGAAGTATTCTCAAGCCTTCCTTAATGAATCTTATGGTAACGATACGCTGCAGCAGGGTGCCCCCGGCCGATTCCCTGCGCTGTGCCCAGATCTCCGCTCAGAGGGGGAACTGAGCAGTTTGGATTTCTGCAGTCATTTCTCCAAGGCATTTCCTCCAGCCCAGCCTTGTTTTCCCCCTAGCTCCAGTTTGTAGCGTATCATCTCAATGGAGGGATGGGATGGGAAACAAAGTCATATTTGGTATTTTTGCCACGCGTAGGACTGTTTAGAGCATCTCATGGCTAGCAGTGCAGAGAACAACTCTCCCAAGTGTTGCTGTTCAGTCACACAGTCGAGTCCGACTCTTCGCGACCCCATGATGGACCCCATCATGCCAGGCCCTCCTGTCTTCCGCCATCCTCCAGAGTTTGCTCAATTTCATGTTCGTTGCATCAATAACACTGTCTAACCCAGATCACCGCAGACTGTGACAGCAGCCATGAAATTAAAAGACGCCTGCTCCTTGGGAGGAAAGCGATGGCGAACCTGAACAGCATGATAAAAAGTAGAGACATCACCCTGCCAACAAAAGTCCGCATGGTCAAAGCAATGGCATTCCCAGTAGTCATGTATGGCTGCGAGAGTTGGACTATAAGGAAGGCCGAGCGCCGAAGAATAGATTCTTTTGAACTGTGGTGCTGGAGAAGACTCTTGAGAGTCCCTTGGACTGCAAGAAGATCAAATCAGTCAATCCTAAAAGAAATCAACCCTGACTGTTCCCTGGAAGGCCAGATAATGAAACTGAAGCTCAAAGACTTTGGCCACCCAATGAGAAGGGAGCACTCACTGGAGAAGACCCTGATGCTGGGAAAGATTGAAGGTCAAAGAAGACGGGGACAGCAAAGGATGAGATGGTTAGACAGTGTCATAGATGCAATGAACATGAAGTTGAGCACACTTCAGAGGACGGCGGAAGACCAGAAGGCCTGGCGTGATCTGGTCCATGGGGTGGCGAAGAGTCGGACTCGACTGTGCGACTGAACAACAACAACAAACCATCTCATCCTTTGCCGTCCCCTTCTTTGACCTTCAAGCTTTCCCACGTAGGACTATGTTATTAGTGACTCCAATCTGCCAAGTAGGTCTGTGTTATTAATGACTCCTGGTGCTGGGGGGTTGGGCCACAGATCCATCTTGACTACAGGCGGTTCAGGGTATTTTGCCACCCTCGCCAAGGGCTGGTGCTCACTGCCTGGGCTGGGCAATGCCGCAGGGCATGGCTTGGACCTGGCTGGAAGCAGGCTCGTAGCCAGAATTTTGTAGCCTGTGCGGCAAATTGTTTTCTGCTGGGGCTGAAGTTCTCAGTGCAGAAAGAAAAGCCATTTAGCCAATAGGAAGCTGGTACCAGGATAGATCTCTAAACTGCAAGCTGTCACCCAGTTTAGATGACAGTTCTCAGCTGCTGCAAGTTAATCACTTCTGCCAGCCTAAGCATCCATTCTGAGAACAAGCTGGCAGGTGGGGGTGATGACGTCTATGGTCAAGAAAGCCAACACTTAAGCAAAAACTGGCTAATTAATAGGAAACAGAGAGTGAGTATAAATGGGAAAGTTTCTCAGTGGAGGGTGGTAAGCAGTGGGGTACCATAGGGATCAGTACTCGGTCCGATGCTTTTTAACTTGTTTATTAATGATTTGGGGTTGGGAGTAAGCAGTGAAGTGGCTAAATTTGCGGATGATATGAAGTTGTCCAGGGTGGTGAAAACCAGTGAAGATTGTGAGGCACTCCAAAGGGATCTGTCAAGGATGGGCAAGTGGGCGTCAACATGGCAAATGGGGTTCATTGTGGCCAAGTGCAAGGTGATGCACATTGGAGCCAAAAATCCTAAATATAAATACACATTGATGGGGTCTGAACTGGCAGAGACTGATCAAGAGAGAGATCTTGGAGTTGTAGATAACTCACTGAAAATGTCGAGACAGTGTGCGACTGCAATAAAAAAGACCAACGCTATGCTGGGGATTATTAGGAAGGGAATTGAAAACAAATCAGCCAGTATCAGAATTTTTTGTTGTTCAGTCGCACAGTCGAGTCCGACTCTTCGCGACCCCATGGATCAACTCCCTCCAAGCCCTCCTGTCTTCCGCCGTCCTCTGAAGTGTGCTCAATTTCATGTTCGTTGCATCGATGACACTATCTAACCATCTCATCCTTTGCGACTGATTTGATCTTTTTGCAGTCCAAGGGACTCTCAAGAGTCTTCTCCAGCACCATAGTTCAAAAGAATCTATTCTTCGGCGCTCGGCCTTCCTTATAGTCCAACTCTCGCAGCCATACATGACTACTGGGAATACCATTGCTTTGACCATGCGGACTTTTGTTGGCAGGGTGATGTCTCTACTTTTTATGATGCTGTTTAGGTTCGCCATCACTTTCCTCCCAAGGAGCAGGCGTCTTTTAATTTCATGGCTGCTGTCACAGTCTGCGGTGATCTGGGATCCCAGGAACAGAATGCCCCTGTATAAATCGATGGTGCGACCTCATTTGGAGTACTGTGTACAGTTCTGGTCATAACACCTCAAAAAGGATATTATAGCATGGGGAAAAGTGCAGAAAAGGGCAACTAGAATGATCAAAGGGTTGGAGCACTTTCCCTATGAAGAAAGGTTAAAGTGCTTGGGGCTCTTTAGCTTGGAGAAACGACGACTGAGGGGTGACATGATCGAGGTTTACAAGATTATGCATGGGATAGAGCAGGTAGAGAAAGAAGTACTTTTCTCCCTTTAGACAAGAACTCGTGGGCACTCCATGAAATTGCTGAGCGGTCGGGTTAGAACAGATAAAAGGAAGTAATTCTTCACCCATCTTCACACATGGAATTCACTGCCACAGGAGGTGGTGGTGGCCACAGGCATGGACAGCTTCAAGGGGGAATTAGATAAGCATATGGAACAGAAGTCCATCAGTGGCTATTAGCCACAAGGGATAGATAAGAACTCTCAGTCTGGGGCAAGGGATGCTCTGTATTCTTGGTGCTTGGGGGGGGGGGCAACAGTGGGAGGGCTTCTGGTGTCCTGGCCTCACTGCTGGTCCTCCTGATGGCCCCTGGTATTTTTGGCCACTGTGTGACAGAGTATTGAACTAGATGGGCCATTGGCCTGATGCAACATTGGCTTCTCATATGTTCTTAAGCAGAAAAACTCTGAAAGGAGACATTTTTGACACAGAAGGGGTCCTAGAGGTCACCTACTCCAACCCCCTTGCTCAGTGCAAGAATGAGTCAACGACAGCACACCACTCTGCTTAAAGAAGTGCACGCCTTTAAAAAAACGTTTTAAAATCATTGAAAAAAAGCATTTACAGGAGAAATGCTTGTGTGGCCGTGCCTTTAAGAAAGGGGGTAAAGCCCCGTGTAGCTACAGGCCTGGCTGGAAGTGGCACCAGCAGGGATGCTGCGGGTGGCTGGCAGAGTGCGGAACCACTGTAGTGCCCTGGCAGCCCTCTCACTGTGACGCCCCAGAAGTTGCTTGTGCGCCAGGGACACCATTGCTTTGCTACGCCTGCCTGCCTGCCACTCTTGAATGTCAAAGCCCGTCCCACGTAAACACTGGCATGCAGTGTGGCCTGCGGACCAGGGAGTGGGGGGTTGGGTTCAGCTCTGCACTGTGGAACCTTCCTAGAGGAGGCATGGTCCTTAGGCACCCTGAAGCGATGGGCCAGGGCGGAAGGGCACCCAAAGCAGCCCTGTTGCTACCCTGCTCTCCTGTGACTTTGGAGTCCATTGCGGGAAGCGGCTCCTGGGCCCACTCTGAGCCCTCCTCCCTTCCTTTGGCAAGGGTGTGGTCCCTCTTCCTCTCACCTCTGTCAGTTTGGTGTCGTGCTTGAGTGCGCGGACTCTAATCTGGGAGAACCGGGTTTGGTTCCCCACTCCTCCACTCGCACCTGCTGGATGACCTTGGGCAAGCCATAGAGCTGTCCTTGAAAAAGAGCAGTTTCTGTCAGAGCGCTCTCAGGCCCCGCCTACCTCACAGGGTGTCTGTCTGTGGTGGGGAGGGGAAGTTTGTCAGCCGCTCTGAGACACCGAGTGAAGGGCGGGGGTGTAAACCCAATCTCCTCTTCTTCACGGGGAGGGGAGGAGTGTCCTTTTCCAGGGCCCTTTTTGCCTCCCGATCTGCCCCTGTTGGGGAGGCATGGCACCACATCATGCCCCTGCCCTGGGCCCAGTGAGACTGGCATGAGTTAGGGTGGCAAAGTCCTCCTCCACGCTGTGCTGGAGCTTCCCCCTCCCCCTGCTGCCCTTGAGTTCCGCAACTACACAGATTCACAGAATAGTCACTGATTTGATCTAAGGCAGATTTGTGGAGTTTTCCAGTCCTTGCAGGATTTCTTCTTTTTCACGGTGGGGCGGTGGGGGAGGGCAGGTCTTTGGGGAGCAGCCTGGAATCCTCCCATTCCCCCAGCCCGGATCCAGAGGCGGCTGTGATCCCCCCCCCCACCACGTTTTTAAGATGATGTCCCTTGCGGAACCAGATGGACGTCTCCACCAATTTGCCATGTGAAACGTGCCACCTGTCTCTGCTTTGAACGGGCTGGGCACGTGGTTCGTCTTGCCCTGCAAAACACTACAGTGCCGGGGGAGGGACACGTGAGGCGTTCCCACACACAGTTTGAAGACAAGAAGAGGAGAATGAGAGGTGGGAAGTGGTCTGCCAAGACAGCTGGGCCCGCGGGAGGAAAAGATGGCTGGCCCACATCCTCCACAAATCCCTAGGCAGGCAGTGACACCCTGTGGCTGGACCAAAAAAAATCCCTTGTGTGAAACTGCAGGCACATCGCTCCTTGGAGACCACGTGGCCAAGCTGCAATTTAAGGCAGAGCTCGGAAGGCTTCAGCCCCATTTAGGGTTGCCAACCTCCAGGCGGGGCCTGGAGTTCTCCCAGTTTGGTATTGTGGTGAAGTGCGCGGACTCTAATCCAGGAGAACCGGGTTTGATTCCCCACTTCTCCACTTGCACCTGCTGGATGACCTTGGGCAAGCCATAGTTCTGATAAGAGCTGTCAAGAGCTCTCTCAGCCCCACCTACCGCACAGGGTGTCTGTGGTGGGGAGGAGAAGGGAAAGGTCCACTGCTGGACTTCCTGATGGCACTGGTGTTTCTGGCCACTGTGTGATACAGAGTGTTGGACTGGATGGGCCTTTGGCCTGATCCAACATTGGCGTCTCTTATGTTCTTAAGGAGTTTGTCAGCCGCTCTGAGACTCCCTTGGGTAGTGAAGGGCGGGGGATACATCCAATCTCTTCTCCTCCTCCCAGAATTACAGCTAATCTGAGTCCAGTGGCACCTTTTAAGACCAACAAAGTTTAATTCTAGGTATAAGCTTTTGTGTGCGTGCATGACCTCAAACATGGTCCTATTGCTTCAGAATCAGATCAACACCGGCTACCCACCTGAAGCGAATCTCCAGACAACAGACATTAGTTCCTCTGCAGAAAACAGCTGCTTTGGAGGGCAGACTCTGGCACTGTACCCTGGTAAGGCCCCTCTCCTCCCCAAACCCCACCCTCCCCCAAATTTCCAGGTGTTTCCCAACCCAGATCTGGCAACCCTGTAAATGTCTGTTTCAAATACTAGCTCTGGACAAGGAGAGCCAACGACAGTGCCGTTGGGCACGTGCAGTGTCTTTTCCTGAGCAGCAGCTGGTTTGCAAAAAGTGCAGCTGAGGCACAGACCTGCCTAAGGGGCCCTGAGTGTGGGCTCCGTCTCCGTGTTCCAGGCTAGGGCTAAATAATCTGTGACAACTCAAGAGTAAAGGGAATACACTCCAGATGCAGAGAATACACTCTATGCAGGGAATACACTCTATTCTGCTATGGTCAGGCCCCACCTGGAGTACTGTGTCCAGTTTTGGGCACCACATTGTAGGAAGGATGTTGACAAGCTCAAGCAGAATAGGCGCACGCCGGCGCGATCACACCGAACAAGTCTGTCTGCAGCCCGGGGCAAACCATTTGCTAGTAGATCCTTGCAGGTACTTTTTAACTGCGCATCTTTGGCGGCACGCTACAGGTTGGCCATGGGTGCGCTACACTTGCCAGATGTTGCGGTGTGATCGCGCCCCGAAAATCCGCCCAGCATTCATGACTTTCGCTCGGTAAATTCTCACTGTGACCAGGGCCTGAGTAGATGTAATTGACCTCAAGGTCCTGATGGCTTGCTTCAGTATCAAGCCGCTTTGTGTGTGTTCATGCATTCCCTCTTGCAGGCAGTTCCCAAACCAGAACTCTTTTTGTAGCCAGTGGGGTGCAGCAAGTTGAGAGAATGGGGGAAAGAAATCTCTTTTATTTCTGTACAAATTAAAACCTTGTTCCAATCGGTTACCAGGGATAGCCGCAACAGAACCGGATGGCTGCTTGCAGCAGAACTTTGCGTGGAGAGGGCTGAGATGGGTCACCCAGAGAGGCAGGCAGAGCAGCAGTTCGCAAGCACAGGGGTGCTTTTGTCTGGGGGGGGGGCGGTGTCCTTCGGCCCTGTCTGGGCTTCGTCAGGGGCGTGAAACCTGCAGAAAGAGGAACAGAGGAAGCAGGGCGATCAGCCCCAACCCAAAACATGTTTCCATGGATGTAAGACCCTACTGCCGCCCCCCCGTTTCTCAATGGATGGGTTGCCAACCTCCAGGTGGCGCATGGAGAACTCCCAGTATTACGACTGATTTCCAGACGACCGAGATCAGTTCACCTGGAGAAAATGGCTGCTTTGGAGGGTGGACTTTATGGCATTGTTCCATGCTGAGGTCCCTCTCCCTTGGCTGGGGGGGGGGCAGGGTGGAAATTTAATAAATAAATACAAATCCCACCTTCCCCAGGCTCCAGCCCCAAGTCTCCAGGAATTTTCCAACCCAGAGCTGGCAACCCTATGGCTCATTTGCCGCCAGGGCTGGCGTGTGCAGGATCTCTGGCTGCAACCCTGCACACACTTGCCTTCCCCAGACTTAGAATCACGGAATCATAGAGTTGGAAGGGACCTCCAAGGTCCTCTAGCCCAACCCCCAGTACAATGCAGGGAATTCACAAATACCTCCCTCTCCACACCAGCAGTGACCCCCTGTTCCACACCCAAAAGATGACAAAAAAACCTCCAGGATCCCTGGGGGCCAAACTGACCCGGAGAAAAATTGCTTCCTGACCCCAAAGTGGCGATCAGCATTTCCCTGGGGGTTTAAGAAAGGGCCACGAGAACTAAGCACGGAGGCGACCCTTCCTGCCTTCCCTCTGCCTAAGTTCGCAGCATCCGCATGGCTGTCCGATGGCCATCTAGCCTCTGTTTGAAAAACTCCCAAGAAGGAGCGCCCGCCACCTCCCAAGGAAGCCTGTTCCACTGAGGAACCGCTCCAACTGTCAGGAAGTCCTTCCTAATGTTTAGCCAAAAACTCTTCTGATTCAATTCCAACCCGCTGGTTCTGGTCTGACCTTCTGGGGCAACAGAAAGCAACTCTGCGCCATCCTCTAGAAGACAGCCCTTTGAGTACTTGAAGAGGGTTCTCCTATCACCTCTCAGTCCTCTCCAGGAAATGAGTAGGCCGTAAGGATCCAACTCAACAGTATCTCTCTGCGACTCCCAACCAGTTTTTGAGACCTCTGTGTAGGAGTTTTCTACTAGCCTACCTGGCACTAAAAACCAGCGTTGAAGGTTATTTCGGGAGTAGTGTTGGGGAACGGGACGATTATTAATTAATCTCCAGCTGCCTTGGGGACACAACCAATGCTCCGTCTAAACTGCGGAGTCCTGTGAGCAAAAATTCTACCTTGTGAGCTACTGGGCATTAAAGTTGTGAGCGAGCAATTTGGCTACTGCATAGATTAGTTTGCTCTGGAGCCATCCCTTCCTGAGCGAAGGCAAAAATGTGTGAGCCGGAGGCTAAAAAACTGTGAGCTAGCTCACACTCACTCAGCTTAAAGGGAACACTGGACACAACAGAAGGGCTGCAAATTAACGAAGCTGGACTTTGGCGCTTAGAGGAGCCAAAGCCATTTCCTTGTGCTCCCGGCCCGGGTGGTCAGTCAGGAAGAGAACCCCTCCCTGCTTTCCACAGGCTGGCCCAAGCCCTTTTGGTCCTCTCCGAACTGACTTGGCCGCAAAGAGGGGAAAGTCTCAGATCCGCTCTCTGCTCTGTTCCAAGGCCGGGTCTCTGTCCAAGCCCGATTCCTAAGTTCCCTGTGAACTCTGCAAACCTCCCCTCCCCTAACCAGTAGTTAAGATCTAAAGCAGAGGCAGTGGGCCTCGCTCAGCTCTTCTCTCTGCACATGCTCAGGGGCACTTTTTAGTGGTGCAGTGCTGGGTCCCAGGCTTCAAGAATGGTGCTGGGGCTGAAAGCCAGGATCGGGTTGCCAACTCCAGGCTGGGAAGTTCCTGGAGATGGGAGGTCCGGGACCAGTGTTCCCTCTAGGCTGAGTGAGTGTGAGCTAGCTCACAGTTTTTAAGCCTCCGGCTCACACATTATTGTCTTCGCTCAGGAAGGAGGGCTCCAGAGCAAACTAATTTATGCAGTAGACAAATCGCTCACACAACTTTAACGCCAGTACCTCACAAAGTAGAATTTTTGCTCACAAGCTTAGAGGGAGCATTGGTGGGGATCTCCTATATTACCATTGATCTGCAAAGGACAGAGATCAGTTTCCCTGGAGGAAATCTGCTTTGGAGGGTGGACTCTCTGGGGTTACTGGGCTGGGAGCTGGGAGGAACCCCGAAGGGAAGGGAGATGTAGTGGTTAGGAGCACAGACTCTAATCTGGGAGAACAGAGTTTGATTCCCCACTCCTTCACATGCAGCTGCTGGGTGACCTTGGGCAAGCCACAGATCTCTCAGAGCTGTTCACTCAAGGACAGTTCTGGAAAGATCTCTCTCAGCCCCACCTACCTCACCGGGTGTCTGTTGTGGGGACAGGAAAGGAGTTTGTAAGCCCCTCTGAGACTCCAGGTGAAGGGTGGGATATGAATCCAATCTCTTCCCCCTCCCCCCTCCCCAGGCTCTGACCCCCGAATTTCCCAACTGGGGGTTGGCAACCCAAGTGCCAAGGGAAGGTTTGGTTTCCTCCCCCCCCCCCAATTTTTTCCTGCAGGCTGAGAGAAAGGATTATTGCCTTTGCTCCAGCGTGGTGCCAGGGTGCAGTGGTCAGTGTGCTGGAACAAGTCCCGGGTTCAGATCTTGCTTCTGTCATGAAGCTTTCCAGCTGCCCTTGAGCCAGTCTCTCAGCCTTGCCTACCTTGCAGGGCTGTTGCCGGGGGGGACCACGCACTGCCACTCTGAGCTCCTTATGGGGCCTCATGGGATAAAAGTGGACTCCGCGATCCTACAGCCGCACTCACCATTAGCACCCGAGGCCGCTGAGGGTCCCGATCCGGTCGAGCTTGATCCCAAAGCACCCTTGCTGGGCCATTTTCTTGGTGTGTCCTCGGAACTTCTTTGGGGTGTTCACGAAATCTTTGAAGAGGTGGAGCCAGGCGTGTTCGGAGGGGGCGCCAGAGGGCTCCCGGGGAGGACGTGGCCTGTTCAGGAGCTGGGAGAAGGAGCCCTGGAGGGCCGAGGGGGGGTCCCGCTCACGGCTCGACAGCAGAGCAGCCAGGTCCTCCCCCAGGAGCTCCAGCAAGGCCTGAAAGGGGAGGAAGAAGTAGGGGGGGCGCTTAAGGGCTTGCTGCTGTAAACCGAGGGCCCCCCAGTCCCAACACACCAGCATCTGCCCCACATAGAGTTGCCAGATCACCCCCCCCCCAGCCTCCAGCAGATCCCGGTTGGGAAACTCCGGGAGATGGGGGGGGGCTCAGCAGTGGGGCCCAAGGCCACAGATCCCACCCTCCAGAGCATCCATTTTTCTCCCTCTAGGGGAACTGCTCCCTCTAAGCTGTGGAGTCCTGTGAGCAAAAATTCTACTTTGTGAGCTACTGGCATTAAAGTTATGAGCAAGTGCATAGATCAGTTTGCTCTGGAGCCCCATCCTTCCTGAGCGAAGACAAAAAATGTGTGAGCCGAAGGCTAAAAAACTGTGAGGGAACACTGGTCTGGAGATGTAATTCCAGGGGGCTCCCCAGGCCCCACCTGGGGGCTGGCATCCCTAGCTGAGGGGAGGGACCTCCGGAAGCGATCCTGCCAGAGAGCCAAAGCGGCCGTTTTCTCCAGACTTGTGTTGTCTGGGGATCCGCTGCAATCCCCGGGGGGGGGGATTTTTGGGCCGCCCAAATTCCCCAGCATCCCGGGGTCCAGGCAGTCTGTGTCCTCCGGGGAAGGCGGAAGGGTGCCTGCTCCAGCAGGAAGGGAACAGGCTCCCCTGAGACGGAGACTGGGCTGGGAGTGACCTGGGAGGGAGGGGGGGAGGCCTGATGGGCTGGGGAGCTCATGTGGGGGCTCCGGACTCCTGGGTCCTCCTCGACCTACCTGGGACGAGTGAACGGGACTCTGGGAGACCAGAGGCAGGAGGACCAAGCAGAGGAGGGGGAGGGTGGCCTTCATCCTTGGCCAGGGGGATTCCTTCCAGTTGGGGCTCCGGATGGGGGGTGGGTGCCTGAGGGGCTGGGCAGGCGGTGACTGGCTCTCCCTTGGACCCGGCCTGGGCTTTTATCAGGGTGCTCGGCTCCCCCCCCCACTCCCCCGCAGCCATCTCCCCGGGCAACAGCAGCCACCCCTGCAGGCAGCACAGAGGACGAGCAGGGTGCCCGTGGGGGGGGGGCTTTTGTCCCCCACTGAAAGGCAGACTAGAGGCCAGTGTTGCCTAGGGGATGAGTTACGGGAAGGGGGGGACAAAGGAAGGCGGGGGGGGGGGCTGAACAGGTCCTCTGGCTGGAGGGAGGAGAGAGAGAGAGCGGCAGGCCAGTTGGGAGTGGGCAGGGTGGCGAGGGGGGTGGAGAGAAGTGGAGAAGAGGGGGAGAAACGCCCTGCAGCGATGAGGCTTCCATGGGGGCTGTCCTGGGTCCGGTGGACCCGGGGGTGGGTCTGACCCAACCCCCCCCCTCGCCCAGCGGCCTCAGGCTCCAGTCTTCATTCCTGCCCATGCCGCCTGGCACCCCCTTGGCACCCCAGTCCCAGGTGCCACGTGCTCCTCTTCCCTTCTAATCGAAGGGCACCCAATTCCTCCACCCCACTCCAATGACCTTTCCCCCCCCAGGCCTCTCCCCCCTTCCTTGCAGAGCGAGCCCCCTTTTCCTAACCCCATCACAAGGGGAGACCCGGAGGTGCCACCGAAACATCCCTGGCGAAGAAAAGGACCAGCCGATTCTTTCTGCTCTCCAGGGAGGTTTCCCCAGAGACGGTCAAAAGTCACCCCGGAATGGCAGCCTCTCCATTCTCCTCCGTCATTCTGGACTCAGGAAGGGTGGGGGGATGGGGAGGGGGGGCATGGATCTGGGGGGCCTTTCCCCATAGGGGGCGCCACACTCCAGGGGCTCAGTGGGGAAGGGGTGCAGAGCACGGGGGAGGGGGGTGGTTTCAAACACCAAACAATGTAGGGCTTGGAAGCTTGGAAAAAAAATTGGGCGCTTTGGCTTGGCAGGGGCGGGGGGGGGGGGTTAAAAAAGGTGCCATTTCGACCCAAACTGCTGAAAGGATTGTGTTGAATGACACCATCTCGGTTCACCAAACAAAATCGCTTCTGGGAAACATTCAGCTGGGACTTGAACTTTTAGGTGATAGAGGAGGATCAGCTGGGATGTAACTGAGAGGCCTCTAAATTCTGCACGAAAAGCAAGAGTTCGGAGGTCTCCTACTGCAGACCCATCGCTTTGGATGGCACCAAATCTCCTTGGGATTAAAGAGCCCGGAAAGCTAGTTCCATAAGGGCGCCCAGTGCCCTGCTGGTGGTCTTTGTCCATCACCTCCCCCCCCCCCCCCCGGGCTGTTTCTTTTATTTAGGGGATTCGCTGAGCAAATCGGCATTCCTGCCCTTTGTACCCTGGAAGCCCTGGAAACCAATTTCAAGCTGCTGGTGCCGGTGCTTTAAGGTCGAGGGAGAGCCATGGCCTTCAGCTGAGGTGACTAACTTTTTCTTGGCCATCCCCTCCTGCTTGCTGCAGGGAGGCTGGGGTTGCCAACCCCCCAGGTGACTCCTGGCTATCTCCTGGAATTACAACTGATCTCCAGATCACACAGATCAGTTCCCCCAGAGAAAATGGCTGCTTTGGAGGGTGGACGCTATGGCGTTAGACCCTGCTGAGACCCCTCCCCTCCCTAAATCCCGTCCTCCCCAGGCTCCACCCCCAAAGCCTCCTGGTATTTCCCAGACCAGAGCTGGCAGCCCTCAGGGAGGCAGGCCGGCCCGTGCCAAGGATCCCATCCATTCGCGAGGGTTTGTCCAGAGGCCTCTCTTTCTTCCACCTTTCACGGAGCCCAAACATTGCGATGCTAGAGCGCCCCCCAACACCAATTTGTGGTGCCCACCCGAGGGTCTTTAGAAAGTTGGAGAGGCTGGGTGGTACTTTTGCCTGGCAAAGCTTCTGATTGGCCAGCAGAGATTTGATTGGCTGTGCAGGTTTTTTAAAAACATTGCTTTGGCAGCAGCTGCCAGCAGAGCTGAAGGACCTTCAGTGTGGGTCTCAAGGTCAGCTGCGGCAGCCATTTTGTGGCTGGCTTTGCCTCCTGTGGCAGCCATCGTGTGGTGGTGCTCACCATGTTGGGTCAGGATTCCAAAGGTGCCCACAGGCTCAAAAAGGTTGCAGACACCTGTGCTAGAGCCACTGCAGGTTCCTGGCACCGCTCCAACAAGGCACTGGTTTGTCGTATGTGTTGGAAGTTCCAGATGCAATGCCCCCTGTCTCAGAGCTCCAGGCTGAGTGGCAAGAGAGGCTAGATAGCTAGACAGGCACACGGACCTTCCTTCCTGTTATCTACTCTTCTGCCACTGTCCTCTTCGATATGTAGATTGTGATCTCAGGGACCCATTTCCCCTTCCTCCTCCTCTCTCACTCTGAGAATGAAGACTTGCTCTCTACCAGCACGCACCAAGAGAGGGACACGCAGTCCTCTCTGGGCACCACGAGGCGGATGGCAGGAGACCCTCTCGCCATCCACCTCCATCCTTTAGCTAGGAAGAAGAAGAAGAAGAAGAAGAAGAAGAAGAAGAAGAAGAAGAAGGAAGAAGAAGAAGAAGAAGAAGAAGAAGAAGAAGAAGAAGAAGAAGAAGAAGAAGAAGAAGAAGAAGAAGAAGAAGAAATTGGATTTATATCCTACCCTTCACTCAGAGTCTCAGAGCGGCTCACAAACTGCTTTCCCTTCCCCTCCCCACAACAACCCTGTGAGGTAGGTGGGGCTGAGAGAGCTCTCTCGAGAACTGCCCTTGAGAGAACAACTCTGACAGAACTATGGCTTGCCCAAGGTCACCCAGAGCTGGCTGCATGTGGAGGAGGAGTGGGGAATCAAACCCGGTTCTCCCAGATTAGAGTCCACACACTTCACCACGACACCAAACTGGCTCCATCTGGAGGATTGCACTTCAACGGAAAAGCTGCCCAGTTCACATGGAGTTCAATAGTTTCACCTATTTCATTGCATAAGTAATGGAGAAGAACATCTCTCAAGCAACATCTCTCATCCAACACATAAGCTTCCATCGGGAGGATGGCAACCATGAGTCACAAGAATCCTGGGGTGCCGCCAGCTATCAGCTGCCTCCCAGAGAGTGCAGGAATCCCTGGGCTTGCCACAGGGGAGGGACACGTTCCTATCTTAAAATCCCAGATGTGGAAGAGCCCCAGATCCTGATCCTTTCCAGTCAAGGGCCTGGAGTTCTGGGAGGCAAATGGAGGCAGGTTGGGGGACCGCTCGGGAAGCAGGATTCCCGAGTTGGTTAGAATTCCAAGCTCTTTCCAAGCCAGCTGGCCAGACAAAGAAGGCCTGAGGATGACGTGGGCTACACAAAAGGCTGTCTGGGGGATACAAGTCTCTCTCTTTCCCCCCCTCCCCGGTCCCATGCCTCCCCCTTGATGGCTAAAAATAAGTATTTTGACCCTGGGCGTCCATTTTTTTTCTCTTCTTGGGGTGGGGTGGCGGCAGCAGCCAGCAGTGAATGGGGATCTTCGCAAAACGGGCCCTGAAGGCACAACGGCCTGGGTGCATTCCTGGCACGGGCCCTGGAGTCTCCCCTGCCAACTGCGGCATTCTCACTGGGATGATGTCAGTGGAGGCCTCGGCTTGCATGGGAGTTTGTGGGGGGGGGAGGCTTTTTCTCTTCCACAGTCGCCCCCCCCATCCCCCAGACATCGGGATTTGTGGGGACCCCAAAAGCAAAGACTATGCACAGAAAAGGCTTCTGTCGTTTGTCTTGGCTTGGGCCGCTGGTTTGGAAGGCAGGCCGCTGGCTCCTTCCCGTGCTTGGGAATTACTCCCTGGTGACCTCGCGGAGCATCAGGGCCCACCATCGCTGGCTTTGGCGCAATAGCGTCGTTTTCGGATTATGGAGCAAAATCGAGGGGGTAAGAGGCGGCAGCAGCAGCAGCGGCAGAGGGGTGAGCTCGGCCAAAACACGGGGAAACCAAGTGTGAAAAAACAAAAACTAAACCCAGAGGCGTAGAGAACGGACCTCTCCTGAGAAACTGAGGTGGAGGGTCTAAGCCGCCTGTAACCAACCAACAAGTCCCTTACAGTCTTTTGACAAATTTGAAAATGTACTTTTTGAAAATGCCCATTCAGTTGCATTGTATGTTTACGCACTGAAAATGGTCAGGTAGGGTTGCTGTTCCCTCTAAGCTGTGGAGTCTTGTGAGCAAAAATTCTACTTGGTGAGCTCCTGGCATTAAAGTTGTGAGCGAGCGATTTGGCTACTGCAGAAATTAGTCTCCTCTGGAGCCCCATCCTTCCTGAGCTAAGGCAAAAACGTGTGAGCTGGAGGCTAAAGAATGGTGAGCTAGCTCACACTAACTCAGCTTAGAGGGAACACTGGTTGCCAGCCCTGGATTGGATACCTGGATACTTTGGTGGTGGATCCAGGAGAGGGCGAGGTTTGAGGAGGGGAGGGGCCTCAGCATGGTACAATGCCATAGAGTCAACCATTCAAAGCAGCCATTTTCTCCAGGGGAGCTGATCTCTGTCAACTGGAGATCAGTAGTAAAAGCGGGAGCTCTCCAGGCCCCACCTGGAGGCTGGCAACCCTATGATCAGGGATGCAAGCCTGAGATATGTGGGACTTCTCTAGGTGTCTTCTCCCCCAACCCAGGATCACAGGAGCCTCTGCTCCAACACGTCTCCGTTTCCTGCCCTGAAAGCCTACAGACCTAGGGGTCCCATTTGCCCACTTATGGCGGGAAACCTCCAGAGAACTGCACACCTCGCCCACCAATGCTCAGCAGAGTGGTGGGCGGAAAGTGGGGCCTAAGTGGGTGGGTGCCATGGCCCTGGGGAGAAAGCTACAAGGGTAGCTCCAGCAATCATGAGAAACTCTATGGTAATCTAACCCTAATCTTACTGTAGAGCTTCTGGCAATTGCTAGAGCTACCCTTGTCACTTCTGGGTAGCTCTAGGAATTGTCAGGAACTCTATGGTCAGAACTTCCTATAAGTAGCTGCGGCAGCCTTATTTCTCTTTTTTAAT